CTGGCTGGAAGTGACCTGCCAAGGACCCAGAGGACAAGGGCCTATGGCTGCTGCACAGACTGCCCCTGCAGCCCCAGTGCCGCCCAGCATCGCCCACCCCAGCCTCTTCCCTTGGAGAGGGATGCACCTTGGCATTCTGGGCTTCCTGCCCTCCAGTCCTGAAGGCCCCACTCTGCTCCACAGCCCAGCAGCATGTTCCACAGGCAGGGGTCTTGCCTGCGCTAGGTGCTGCTGCAAGGGGCACACAAAGCACATCTGCACCACAGTGTTTGGCCTGGGAGTTTCTGAGGCTGTAAATAGCCAAGTTCCCCTCCTCCTCATCTTGAAAGTGAGAAGGGGAACATCCCCCAGAGAGGGGGAAAGAACTGGTCAATTGTCATCACTGGTAGAAAAGCTATTTTTAATTTTATTAAAATGTCTCTCTTCTATAAACTTTCAAAATATCTGGAACCTCTGCTATACAGATTTGTGCTGTGGCTGCGTAGCAAAGCTGTTGCTCCTGGGGTAGGTGATGGTGGCACTTATGGTGGGGTGCAACTGGTGGCACGGGACAGCTGAGGCTCCTCTTTGCAATCTGGGGAGGTGTGGGGAGTGCCAGGGGAGCAGGGCATTCCAGGGCCACCCTCAAAAAGGGGCACATGGGGGATGTAGTGGCTAAGGGGGCCAGGATGGGTCTGTGGCCGGAGCAGGAGCTGGTGCAGGGTCTCGCCCACCTGCACGAGGCTGTGGGAGAGGAGCTGGAGGTGGGAGACTGTGTCGCTGGCCAGGCTCTCCAGTAGTGCCTGCTGCTGCCGTGATGTCTGCAGGATCTGCACCAGCAGTTGCTGGACGTTCTGGAGCAAGCTTGCCACACCGGGCCCTGCAGTGAGAGAGGAGTCAGTGGCAGCAAACCCTCACCATGGCTATGAGAGCTCCCTGTGAGGCTTTTGGGATGCTGCAGGGAGAACCCACCATGAAGGCTTGCATCTGATGCATCTTCACCTGCTGCCGGCTGCTCGCTCATGGCAGCTGTCCCTTGGGAGCCTGAGGCTGCGACAGCCACTGGCAGCATTTGGTTTCCTCTTCCCATCCCCAGGGACGTCTCGCCAGGAAAACGTGCCACGATAGCTTGGCATGGAGGAAACAACCAGAGTGATGGAGGCACCCAAGCCCATGCTCGGCTTCACCCCACACAGAGACCTGGGGAGGCACTGCCTCTGGGAGCCCAGGCCCTGCATTCCCGCTGGCAGGACAGGACAGAGCTGTCCCCTGGACCAGGAGAACTTGCTCAAAACTGCAGACACTTACCAGCCTTTCCCTCTGTTCCTTCCTGCTTCAGGTCAGTGTGACAGCCTGGAATGAGAGCAGATACAGCCTGTGAGCTGCAGCCACCTCCTGCCCCAGGGCGCACAAGCAGAGTAGCCAGGATATGATGCTCACCCAGGATGGAGATAGGAGGGAAGCAGCAACTGGTGTCTGCAACGAGAACTGTATCAGACCCTGCTCGTGGGGCTGAGGGGATTTACTGAGCTTTACTGGGCTGAGCAGGGCAAGGAAAGCCTTACATGGCATGGTGGGTGGTGTGGGTGGCACTCCAGTGATGTGTTCCCCACCAGCTGCTGGGAGAAAGCAGAGAGGAGAGATACACCGTCTGACAGGACTTGGCAGGGGATCACCACCAGCCCAGGGTCTGCCTGGCTTGCCTCGGCCAGCCCCACAGCCCAACATGCCCTAGCCACAGCTCCACAGTGCCCTGCAGGGCCCCAAAGCATTTCAGAGCTAGGTACAAAAGCAGGAGTCACTCACCCACCACTGCAATGCAGCCACCCCTGGGCTGGAAGGCAGCAGCGGCGGAGCAGCGCGCAGGAACGCTACACAACAGACTAGGACTGGAAGTGAAGGAGAATCCCACATCCACTTGAAACTGCAGGGGGAATTTAGGGAGACAGAAGGTGGTTACCCAGTGTGGGATGCTGGCCGGGGCACCCACGCAAATCAGACTCAGGGATGTATCCTGCATCACCTCAGTGCCAAACTCCCTGGAGGGGTGCAAGATACGTCCCTGGGTGGGCTGCGGGGCATGGGAGCTGCAAGCACCTCTGGCCCTCACACACAGTCCTAACTCATCCAAAGACCTATGTTGTTACTGGGGAAGGGGGGAGCCAGGACCTGACAAAGGAAGGGGGGTCACATGCCCTGCAGTGCCACACAGCCACAGGAGACCTCTGGGCTGTATTGGGGCCACTGCCCCTTACAGACTTTATGCCCCACAATCTGCCATGGGGCGGCCAGCAGCCTTGCCATGCCCTCAGGCTGGGTCAGAGCTGGAGACCCCTTCCTGCCCTGTCCCAGCCATCCCTTCATGCTCTGGGGCTGGTTCGACCTCTAGCTGAAGCCTCTGGAGGGGGAAATCCCAACGCTCCCATCACTGAGCATCCCTGATGAGGGACATGTGATGGATCCTCTGATCCCCTAAGCCCCCCATTCCCATCATGCTGGCCTGGGCTTGGGCTGGAGCTGTGGCCGTGCAGCTTGGTGCAGCAGGGCAGGTTGATACTTACGGCTCTCTGGCTCATCCTTTGCACACCGCAGCAGCGGGGACAGCAGCGTGCCTGGGGTGTCCCTGCTAACATTGTGCTCTGCAGAAGGAAGTGAGGGGGGTGCAGAAAACAGCTTCAATAACTGGGTGATGAGGGGTGTCTGCCACCCCACAGACAGGACAAGCCCCACTCCGGCTGTCTGAGCCCACAGGTACCTGGTGGCTCTGGCGAGGATGAAGACCGAGTGGCAAGGGCTGACCTGCGCTTCCTGGTGGGCAGTTTCACCAGTTCTAGAGGACGAGAAAGACCATCAACGTACCCTGGCTGTCCGTGCAGCATCAGTCCCCAAGCAACCCACATCTAGCCACCCTGCTAAGCCCACATGCCCGTCCCTGGCACCCACCTGGCATCCTCCGCTCGCCAAAGACGGGCCGCCCGGCTGCCTTCCATATACTTTTCATGGCCCGATAGTGCGGAGGAAGCCGGGGCGAGTGGTGTCCTGCCCTCCGGCGCGTCTCCCGCTCCGAGTGGAAAGCCTGCTTGAGCGCCTTCCACTTGGAGCGGCACTGGGCCACGCTGCGCCCGTAGCCGGCCGCCGCCAACCCCCGGGAGATCTCCCGCCACAGCGCCTCGTTGGGTCGCGACGTGGAGGCCATGAGCAGGGCGGCCTCCCCCGAGCCCCCCACCAGCGACAGGAGGCTGCTGACCTCCGCCTGCGTCCAGGCTCGCCCCCGGGGCATCCTGCTGGGGCGGCGGGGGGAGCCGGGGGAACGCTCGGCCCCGAGCCGGGATCAGCCCCGGGGCTCGGCCGTGCGCTCCCGAGGGCGCACCGGGAGGATGCCCCGCCGGGGCGGCACCGGGAGCCGTCGGGAGCCAAACCGGGAGTCTCCCCGGGGAGCTGCACGGGGAACCGCCGGGAGTCGCCCCGGGAGCCGCACCCGGGATCGCCGCCGGTCTCACCCGCAGCCGCACCGACCGCCCCTGCGCCGCACCGGGCGCCGCGCCGGGAGCTGCCGGGAGTCGCCGGGAGCCGCATCGAGCATGTGCAGCCCGGGGAGGAGCCGCTGGGAAACGTAGTCCGGATGAGCCATCCTTCCCCCAGCATAAGCTGGCAGACCGGAGCGGGGGACGTTGTCTGTCCCCGGGGGCCTGGGGGGCTCGGGGGGCACGGCAGGGATGGCCATCGCGGCAGCCCTGAAGGCTTGGGGGAGGGTAAGGAGCACCCCAGCCCCCCGCTTTCCAGGGCTGAGATGCAGTTGCAGCCCCATGCAAAAGAAAGGGCAGCAAAAACCACTTGTAAGCAAATACCCCGTGGCCTTGCTGCTTGGAGAGGGGCGCGTGGCGACGTGACCTGCACCTCAAGGCAGATCAGACTAAGACAGTTGGGGTTGTTGAGTTTTGAGAAGAGAAGGCTCCCAGGAGACCTTATAGCACCTTTCCAGTACCTAGAGGACTACAAGAGAGCCGGAGAGGGACATTTTATAAGGGTATGCAGTGATAGGACAAGGGGGAATGACTTCAAACTGACAGAGGGCAGGTTTAGATCAGATTCTAATCATAGAATATCCTGAACTGGAAGGAACCCACTGGGATAATCAAATTCCAACTCCTGGCCCTCATAGGATACCCCAAGAGTCACACTGTGTGCCTGAGAGTATTGTCTGAACACGTCTTGAACTCTGTCATGCTTGGTGCTGTGACCGCATCTCTGGGGAGCCTGTTTTGTGTCCAACCACCCTTTGGGTGAACAGTCTGTTCCCAATATCCAACTTAGACCTCTCCTGACATGGCTTCATGCCATTCCCTTGGGTCCTGTCCTGGTCATCACAGAGAAGAGATTGATGCCTGCCCGTCCGCTGCCCTTCATGAGGAAGCTGCAGACTGAGATGAGGTCTCCCCTCAGCCTCCACCAGGCTGAATAAACCAAGTGACCTCAGCTGCTCCCTGTATGGCTTTCCCTCTTTTAGAAAGAATTTCTTCACTATGAGGGTGGTGAGGCACTGGTACAGGTTGCCCAGAGAAGCTGTGAATGCCCCATCCCTGGAAATGTTCAAGGCCAGGCTGGATGGGGCTCTGAGCAACCTGGTCTACTGGAAGGTTTCTCTGCCCATGGCAGGGGAGGTTGGAACAAGATGATCTTTAAGGTCCTTTACAGCCCAAATAATTCTATGACTCCATGACTTGGCTGCCCAGCTCAGCCCTGGACCTGTGTCTGAGTTATTAGCCATCCCCATCACCTGCTACCCCAAAACCAGGGCCACAGAGTTCCCTTGTGCTGGAACACCTGGGTGCCAGCCCCAACAACCCCTTGCCCCAAGTGTCTGTCAGCACCATGACACCCCTGGTTTGTGTCCCAGGTGGTGCCTCTGGGGACCCCACCAGGAAGTGACACTTTCCATTTTGCATCACACCCGTCTGACAGTGTCTGGGAGAGGGTTGCCAGTGTCCCTGTGGGGTGCAGAGCAAGAAATCAAAGAAGGGATGGAAGAGAGGGTCACATACGCTGATCTGCGCTTTCCCCCAACACCAGGTAATGGCGCGGTGCTCCCTGTCCCTGGCACCCCAGCTCTCTCAGCGGATTCCCTGCCCTCCTGCAGACCCTTGGCCTCCCAGACCTGCTTCCCCCAATTTCTGTGTGTCCTCTCCCAAGCAGCTCCTCTCCAGCCTCCTTGCAGACTGCCTGCTCTCAGGGTGGGGGGCAGGAGAGGCTCAAGAGTGGGGGATGCCCACTGTACCCCAATGCCACAGCACACACAGGCAGTCCCTGCTCTGCTCTCCCTGTCCCATGTAAAGTGCTGTCTGCAGGGAAACAACTTCTAGGAGGGTCACACTGCTGCAAATGGGCTCTCCCCCACTTTTCCTGGGCTACCCTACTACCTTCTGACATCCTGCCTGGGATTCACAGACCTTTCCTGGCTGGAAGTTACCCACTGCTCCCACCAAGCCCCCCAGGGTCTAGGTTAAATTAAATCCTTTTCTCAGGTCCTCAGCAGCCGGTGCGTCTGCCCTGGTGCTGGGCAGCCCTCAGCCTGGGTCTCCTCTCCCTGGTGCTTCTGCTGGCACAAATCATCCTTGTCAGCTTGAGCTTCCACTGTGAGTACCTACCTGCCTGTGCCTGGATCTCTGTGTCTCGGATCTTGCAGTTGGAGCTGGTGCCACAGGGCCAACAGACAGAGCTGCAGCTTCCCCAAGGAGCTGGGCCCTCCCACTTGGGGCTGAGTGCACCGAGGGTTCTGGGGCAAGCGAGAAAATTGGTTAGGCAAGACATCGCCTACTTGGCTGGAAAAAAAAGTTGGTGGGACAGCGTGGGCTTGGGGAAGGCCATCACATGGCATTGAAAAGAAAGCAGGAAGGAGAGAGGTGACACTGAAACTGAAAGGCAGCAGCACTTTCCCCGAAAGTCGGTGTTGTGTTGGGCTCCCAAGCACAGCAAAAGCCGCAAGGCCCTTGGCTGGCTTGGCGTACCCAAAGCAGGAGATGTCCTCACCCACAGCTGTGGGGTCACCCTGTGGGAGAGGACACCGTGTGCTGCTGGGAGCAGGAGCCCAGAGTTGCTGGGACACCCCTGTGCTCTTCTTCTGTAGATTTAGTACAACAACAGATGAGCTGCACCCATGATCTCTGGAGCACGGAGAAGAGCGCCAGCTATGGGCAACAGACACTGCAAGGTAAGAGAGCCTGGTGAGCTCCTGGACAAAGTTTGGAGAGGGCCTAGCTGCTCCTTTCAAGTAGCAGGATCTGTCCATGCTCCAGGACATTCTCCCCACTCCAAATATTCCTTCACCCTTGCTGCCTGTCTCCTGGCTCATGGCATAGAGAGCTGCCCCAGCACTGCTGAACAAGCTGAATTTGGGACCTTTGGAAGAGGTGACCCCAGCATGGTTCAGCATTGCCTGGACATGCCACCAGCACGAGGCTCATGGATGCCACCAGCATCTGTTTTCCAGATGGCATCAGGTGCTCTCTTTGACCATCTCTGATCCAACTGAAATCTTGACTGAGTTCCCAGCACTTGGGAAATTGTGTTTGTATTGCTTCTGCAAAACTGGAGCTCCCCTCCCTGCCCCGTGCCAGCACCTTCCTGTAACTCCTTCTCCCCAGGGAGCTCCTTCTCATAAGGGCCTCCCTCTGGGGAGCTGGGGCTGGAAGATGGGAGCTGAGCTCCCGAATAACAGCAAGTGGAGGGTGGTCTCCGTGGGGCAGCCCTAGGAGCACAGTGGGTGGGTTGGTACCCAGTGGCTGCCCATTGTCACTGTCCTGCCCCTTGGGCTGGGTGCAGCCCCTGCCAGTTGCCCAATCCCAGCTTCTGTGTTTCTGGTGTGCAGCGCAATGCCAGTTTTGCCCGGTCGGCTGGCTCTGGGATGCAGGGCAGTGCTACTACTTCTCATCTGCCAAAAAGACCTGGGAGAAAAGCAGAGAGGACTGCTGCTCCAGAGGGGCACAGCTGGTCACCATCCAAGACAACACTACCCTGGTGAGTGCACCCAGCCTGCCCTGTCCAGCTCCCTGCGAGCATCGGGCTGTGCTGGTGACCACCTCAAGGTCCCTCAGCAGCCACCCACCCCATCAGCAGCATTGTCTCAGCTCCTTGGCTCTGGCCTATGTGCCCAAATCCTAGCTAAGCCTCCAGGCAGGGAGCTGGCAATGCTGTGCCCATGCTGCACAGCCCCCATCACTAATCGTGGGTGGGGCTGTGTGTCCCCTCAGGGAGCTCACGTGAATCCTCTCCTGTATTAGGCTTTCCTGATGCGCACCACGGACATGGAGGTCTTCCATGTGGGGCTGAAGAAGGATGGCTTTGCATCAGACTGGAAGTGGCTGGATGGCACCACATTGAAGGGGTAGGGCTGTCAGCTTGTCCCCAGCCAGGGCTGCTGAGGGTCCAGCAGCAGGGATCAGGGAGGTGACAGGGGGACACTGGCATGGAGGGATGTGCTCCATATTTTGGCCACCTCCTGTCTCCTCAGGGCTGCACTGGGGCATTTTAGGGAAGAGAAGATAGCGAAGAGAGGCCTGACCCTGGTGCCCATACTCTGCCTGGGTGAGGGACTGGAGGGCTCCCTCAAAAGCAGATTCCCAGATTTTGGTTGGTGCAGTTGGTGCTGAGCCCTGCCAGGAGGGAACTGAGGGTCTCATGTGCCTGATGGGGCTGGGGACATCAGAAAATGTGGCTTAACTGGGAGGAGGCAGGAGACTGTGCTCCATGGGGGGGGTGAGCTTTGCCCCGCAACATCCCTGTGCCGTTTCTGGTCCCTGGCTGGAGGATTTACTGATGGGACAATCTCAGTTCTTCCTGCCCATCCCATCTCAGTGCACTCTCTCCCTGCAGGATCTTCCTAATCCATCGCTACACCAGGTCTTACCAGGCCTGTGGCAGGCTGTCAGGCTTGGGGCTGTCGGGTGGTCTGTGCTCGGAACCCCTTGGATGGGTCTGCAAGCAGAGTGCAGCCACCCTGCAGTGGCTCCAGTCCTCGCCTCCTTCCTTCGTCTGGGGAAACACCACCTACAGCTGTGTGAGGCCCTGATGGCTGTGGGAACCTCCAGCCTGTCCCACCACCATGTTCCCTGCCTGACTCCAGTTCATGGGCATTCACAGGCATTGACTGCTGCCTCCTGGCTCAGACCTCTTTATTTCCCTGTAACTGCATTTTGCCAATAAACTCTGCCAAAAACTGTGTCTGTCTTTGAGGAATGACAGGAGTGTGATAGAGGTGCATCCTCCAGCTCACTGACTCGGTTGCATCAATGAAAAGTGGGAAATTGCCTCTGCTGCACCGTACCAGGAGCCAGCATTCAGCCAGCAGCAATCCAAGCATCCTCGTGGCCTGATGGCAGCATGAGGCAGCTCCTGTGCAGGCTGGAGCAGGTCTCCTGAAAGCTTTTTGATTGTGGTGGCTACCTGGTGTTTATGCTTCTTGGAACACACAGCTGAGAGGTGACCCTTTGCTTCCTCATCCCATGGAGGACTTGGACTGGGCAGCAGCTTATCTACTGGTGCCGACCCAGTCTGAGGAGGTTCCAGCAAGTGGCCTCACTTTGCTTTGAGTCTGGGTGATGTGTGAGAGCCTGAAAGGTCTGATGAGGCTTGAGTTGAAGGTGTTTGGTTCCGGCAGCTGTTAAAGTTTCAATATAGACCTCCTGGTTCCAGCAGCCTGGAGCTCTGGCATGAACATACCTGGGATTCTCCCTGGCATATTCAGAGGACCGATATAATAAGTGCATCCTGTGTCCTGAGCAGGGGCTGGGAGGGAAAAGGTGATACATGGGGTGGTGTAGCCCTGCTGTGGCCAGTACATAGGAGCTTGGGCTCCTCACAGCCTGGGGCACAGATGTAGAGCATGCAGCCCAGAGTGGAGCTCATTCACCCCCCACCCTCCAAAGCCAGAGCATCCTCCAAAATAAAACCACTTTTCGCAAATAAAGCAACTACTTCTGCTTTTCTGCATATGAAGAAGTGTCTCCATCCCACATGGTCTTAGCCACAGTCTGCTATATGACCACAGTGGAGCAGAACAGGACTGAGTTCCTGGACTGCTGCTGCCCAGCTGCCTGCATGGCCCAGAGTGTGGTCTATGCTGATTTGAAGTTTGATGAGCCCCTGCTCACTTCCCCTACCTGCCCTGAGGTTCCCAGGCACCAAGAGAGTGCTGGGCTTGGGACAGGTGTCTCTCCTCTGGACTTGCTCCAACAGGTCCGTGTCCTTCCTGTGCTGGGGACCCCAGAGCTGGATGCAGTGCTCCAGGTGGGGTCTCACCAGAGCAGAGCTGAGAGGCAGAATTCTCTCCCTCGCCTGCTTCCCACCCTGCTTTGGATGCAGCCCAGGACAGGATTGGCTTTCTGGGCTGTGAGTGCACATGGCCGGGTCATGTCCAGCCTCTCACCCACCAGCACCCCCAAGTCCTTCCCAGCAGGGCAGCTCTTGATCTGTTCTTCCCCCAGCCTGTGTTGGTACCGGAGGTTGCCCTGACCCAAGTGCAGCACCTTGCACTTGGTCTTGTTAAACCTCATGATGTTCCCATGGGCCTACTCCTTGACCTTGTCCAGGTCCCTCTGGATGGCATTGGGTGCCTCAGATGTATCAACTACAGCTCTCACCTGGCTGTCATCTGCAAGCTCGCTGAGGGTGCACTAGATCCCCCTATTCACATTGTTGATGAAAGCATTAAGTAGCATTGGTGCCAATATGGATCCCCAAGGGACACCACTGGTCACCAATGTCCACATCAGGACACAGAGCCATTGACCACTATCTTCTGGATGCGACTGTCCTGCCAGTTCCTTATCCACCAAACAGTCCACCCATTGAATCCATTTCTCTCCAATTTAGAGGGAGACTGTGTCAAAAGCTTTACAGAAGTCAAGCTATAAGACATTCATAGCCCTTCCCTTGTTCACTGATGAAATCACTCCATTGTAGAAGGCCACTAGGTTGGTTAGGCAGGACTTTACCTTGATGAAACCATGCTGGCTGTCTCAAACCCAGCTTAGCAAAATGGTTCCCAACACCTCGTACTCTCTGCAGAAACACTTGAGTCAGCAGGGTCAGTGCTGCACCTGGACTCCCCCTCCCCGCCCCACCTGGATCCTGGACAGGGCTCTCTTATCACCCTGCTTGGCAATTCAGGTTCCACCATGGTCTTAGGGACCTTCCCCTCATGGTGCCAGGGTCCCCTTTTTCTAGCGTTCCCAAGTCTCCTCAGTACTTCCCTCTCTCTTCCACTGTCTAAAGACTCATAGTTGCAACCCCATTTCCTCAGGGCCTCTCCCATTTACCTTCCATGATCTCAGGCATCTTCACTGAACCTCCATTTCCTCCCACGGTCTCAGGGTTACTGCATTCACCCCCATGGTCTCAGGGCTCTTCATTGCACCTTTTTTTCTCCCATGGTTTCAGGGTTTCCTTATTCAACTTCAATGTTCTCAAGGCTCCCCAGAGCTTCCCCATCTCCCATATGGTCTCATGGCTTCCCAGCATTTTCTCATGCTGATGGCACCACTGCCTGCGCTCTTCCCAGGCAAGACCCAGCCCAAAGCCCTGGGCAGGTGATGGAGGCAGGAAAAAGGGCAGGATGAGAGCTATTAACGCCAAGAGAAGAGACAGGCTGTAAATCCACAGAAGTCCCCAAAATGGACAGACTGAGGGATACCAATGTGTCATCCCGCAGCTCCAAGAAAATGCAAATGGCAGATCCTGCACAGTTCTCCCCGGGCAGCCTTGGGGGAGCACAGAAAGTGGGAGCTGGGCTTTGCACTGGAGACCTGGATCACTGCAGGGTGTGCTGGCCAGGGCACACAGGAACACACAGAGACACAGTGCAAGGTGGTGTGATAAGTGTATGCATGAGTGTAAGAGAGCGAAATAAGGTCTCTTTTCTAGCCTTTAAAATACAGACCCTCTTTCCCAGTGCTTTGTAACGCAGTTGAGGCAATGCATGCACAGGGTCTTGGGGTGCATCCCCAGCTCCTGTCCCCAAGTCCAGAGATGGAGTAGAGTATCAGCAGTCAGATCTTGGCCAGGAGAGGAGGTTGGGCCTCAGATGTGCTGCTCAATTTCGGGGATTTCTCGCAGATCCACTGAAAGGAATGCCAGCACGATATGTGCCTGATTTTCCCATTTTCTATTGCCCTGCACTTTGTACTCCTAGGAAAGAGGGCACATCTCAGAGTAGCAGTGACAACATCCTTGCTATAGACACCACTTCCCATAGCTCTCAGTGCCGCTGGGGCAGGCAGGGTGCCTGGCACTGGGACCAGTCTGAGGAAGGGTTGCATTCCTCCTCCCAGTTTTCTGCTCTGCCACTTGGAAATCTGGCAGTACACTCCACAGCTGAGCTGTGCCCTGACCCCCTTCCCTTGGGGGACCATCATCCCCTTTGCTGGGGGATGTAACAGGGTCAAATCAGCACCTTTCTGGCATGGGAAAAGGGCAGGTGCTTGTGCCCAGCACTCTCGTACTTACCAGGTTTGACTTCTGTCCTGCCATTCAGAAGTTGCCTTTGTGTTATAATAAATGCTTGGTCCAATCCAGTAGTTTTCAGTAGACTCCTGCACAAAATGCTGGAAGAAGAGAAGCTGTCAGCCACCTGCTTCATGACTAGCACTTGCCTGGTTCCCAGGAGCGCCAGGGTCGGCTGTGCTCCTCCTCCCAGACTTCTGGAATGGAAACCTGGGGCTCATGGTGCTACCCCAGCACCTCCACAGCTACTGCTGCAGCTGTCCCGCTGGGACTCTGCCCAGTCTCACCCTCCTAGGGTACCACAATACCCCTGCTCTGTACCGGTACTGTCAATGATATCAAGCTATCTTGGATGAGCAGTTCAGCGGATTTTGCTTTGCAGTCATCCTTGCTTCTCTGCCAGGTCTTCTTCTGCACAGAGATGAAGAGACACTTGCTCCTGTAGAGCACCCAGCCCGAGGGGCAGCAGTCTGGGGACAGAGGCACAGGTCAGACACTTATCCTCCCACAGATGCTCGAGGGGTCCAGCCCGGCCGAGATCAACCCCTGCATCTGCCCAAGAGCAACATTGCCTCTGCCCCTGCCCCATCACAACTCTACCTGTATTCACACAGGCACGCAGGCTGCTCACAGTGCTCTCGCTGTTGTTGAGCTTCCCCTGCACCTCCTGCATCTCCTTCTCCGTCTTGCCCAGGACCCCCCTGACGTGCCCCAGCTCGACGCTCATTCTATCCAGCTCCAGCTGGCTGATGTTGCCCTCGTGCCACGCTCGCTGCAGCTCCTCTCTGGCCCACGCCAGCTCCAGCTCTGCCTGCTCCAGGCTCTGCTCCCGAGCGCTCAGCTCCTGTGACAGGCGGCCCTGCTCGGCTGCATAGTTGCGGGAGGTGTCCTGCAGGCTGTGGGTGACCTGCCAGTCTGGGGGTAGGGCAGTGAGCTGAGACATGGGCATGGGACAGCTGGGCCATGGGACTTGCAAGGGAGAATGGGATAGGAGTGCCTGTCTGTGGGTAGAGATTGTCCTGGGGGTTTCAATGAGAAGGGAAAGGAAGTCCCAATGGTGGCAGGTGGAGAGGAGACAATGGCAGGCAGTAGGAGGCAGTGGGAGACAATGGGAAGGCAAGGGGAGGCAATGAGAAGGCTAGTGGGAGGTAGTGGAAGGCATTGGAAAGACAATAGGAAGTGGTGGGAAGGCAATAGGAAGGCAGTGAGAGGGAGTGGGAGGCAGTGGGAGGGGGTAGGAGGCAGTGTGAAGGCAGTGAGAGGCTGTGGAGGCAATAAGAAGGCAAAGAGAGTGAGTGAGAGACAACGGGAAGGCAGCAGGAGGCAGTGGGAATGCAATGGGAGGCAGTGGGAAGGCAGTAGGAAGACAGTGGGAGGCAATGGGAAGCAGTAACAGGGAATGGGAGGGCGTGGGAAGCTGTGGGAGGCAATGGCAGGCAATGGGGGGTAGTGGGAAGACAGTGGGAGGCAATGGGAAGCAGTGACAGGGAGTGGGAGGCAGTGGGAGGCATTGGGAGGTAGTGGTAAGACAGGGGCAAGACAGTGGGAGGCAGTGGGAGGCAATGGGGGGGAGTAGGAGGGAGTGGGAAGGTAGTGGGAGGCAGCTCATGTAGCCGTGAAAGAGGAAGCAACTAGTCCTGGACCCCCAGCCTCAGGCACCCCTCATCCCTGACAACCCCCCTGCAGCTCATCACTGGCCCAGCCC